CCCCCCCTCTCCCCACACACTGGTGTCCTGTGCCAGGTAGAACGTCCCGGACAGAACACGTGGCGAGGCAGCAGCTCCAAATGCGAAAGGATTTAGAAGGAGAGGGAGAACTAGGTAGAAAAAGACTTCGTTTCCGGCCAACTCGGACGTAAGAAAAAAATGCTTCTTCTTTGACTAAACCGATTTGCCCCCTTTTAAGAATAAAATATTGATGTTAAATTTTGCTTAAAAGGAATAAGTATTTTTTTTTTTACAGTGAACGGGCATTTATACTGTCCACATTATAGTCCCGCCGCCCGGCTGCCGCTGGGCGCATGCTCTTGCCCTTTTTTTTTACACGGGTAATGGATGTGGGAAAGGGGTGTTGTACGGTCTCTCTCTCTCTCTCTCTCTCTCTCTCTCTCTCTCTCTCTCTCTCTCTCTCTCTCTGCGGTGTGTTGCCGTGCGAGACGCCCCTTTGTCCTCGCCTGTAACGCACTGCCGACCGGTGCGGCCAGGACTGCATTAGGCCCGCTGATGGGCGCTGCGCTTCCTGGGACCGGCTGCACACCTGCCTGCAGGATTCGCCGGAATTTGTTTCATTTGTCCAATTGTATATGTTTTTATTCCTATATGCATAATGAAATGCATTGTGTGACAACGCGCACCATGCATTCCGAATGCGCTGTATTTCGTATTGCAATAGTTATAATTTAATTAATTTATATTTGAAAATTTGATCACAGTCGCCGTTTGGTTGCCTTCCTTGCTCTTCTGACCAATATTTTGTCTTGTGTGTTGCAGGTAAGTCGGCGTTTACGTTTCTCCAGCACAAATTAGAGTTCTATTAGAGGTATTGTTCTGCAACTATATTTACATTCCGTAAAACTTCTAAAAACGAGCCCTTTGTTGTGCAAAAGTATTTTGCAGGGTAAACCGTCAACTTCAGATTATATATACTTTATAAAATGAAATTATTTTGCCAGCCAATGATGGGCCAGATGGTGTACGGGGCGGTGTGGCGCTCCCGGGCGCCCGCTGGCTTTCCGAATCGCTTCGCGCGCGAGTGGGGGATTCGTTTAGGTGCAATGAATATGCGACGCATGGGGACGCCGACATTTGCATTTTTTAGCAGATGATACATCATACACAACTGAAATTAATAATACTTTACTTAACGATGTGTCATTGCTTGTACTCTCGTGCGGAGCGCTGAGGCTGAGAGGCACAAGGCATGACGTCATCCAGTAGTCTGTAGGGCGCGTGATGCGGCCCCCGCGCTCCGACCGTGCCCATGCCGCACAGCCCATAGCTATACGCAGCCCCCCCCCCTCCCCTTCCCCCTCCCTCCGGCAGACTCGGCTCGGCTGCGGTGCACCGCTCGGCTCGGCTCGGGCTCGGGCGGACCACTGGGGCTCGGCTGCTCTGGCCGGCTCAGCTCGTCTCGGCCGGTGATCGGCTGGGCCACGCCTGCCTGGGCTAGCCTAGGCTACGGACGTAATGCGCAACATGCAGATGTTTTCCCAGAAATGGGTTTTCCGGCGAGCCTGCCCAGCCCGACCAGCCCGACCCTGCCAAGGGCTGGGACATGGGACGGAAGGACAGGACCAGGGATCAGTTAGCCCAGTGCAGCCTTGGAGTGCGCCTTGCAGAGCGTGCGCGCGCCCAACGTCCGTGCATAGTTTCTGCAGGTGCTCAGTGCAGTTAGTGTTATTAGTGCTAATCATGGGACCGCGACCGCGAAAGTTGACTGAGGAGCAGTTGGAGAAGAAACGGCAGCAAGCCCGGGATCGCAGAGCAAACATGAGTGATGAACAGCGGGAGAAGGAACGGCAGCGGGTGCGGGATCGCAGGGCAGCCATGAGTGAAGAGCAACGGGAGAAAGAAGCGGAGCGGGACCGGGAGCGCAAGGCAGCCATGAGTGAAGAGCAGCGGGAGAAGAAGCAGCAGCGGGATCGGGATCGCAGGGCAGCTATGAGTGAAGAGCAACGGGAGAAGGAGCAGCAGCGGGATCGGGATCGCTGGGCAGCTATGAGTGAAGAGCACCAGGAGGAGAGACAACAGCGCCGGAGGGCCAAGCGCTTGAAGCAGAGTACTGGTAAGTGAGCTTTTGTGTAGCATAGCACTAACGGGTATTTCCGTCTGAATACGGAAAAAACGCGAGCACCATATGCATCCAGCCAGCGCGCTCGAGTACAGCAGGCTAAGGTTTGGTTAAGCGCAATATTGCTATTACAATAATTAGTTTCATTTGCAGGTGCACACGGCAAATATGATGACAGTGAAGTTACAATTCCAGAAACCGATTTGCCGGAAGAAAATGGCGGTAAGCATAATTTCTGTATAGTCAAACTATTATATGCTTATATAGCGGTTTAATAATTAAAACGTTCGCGTCGATTTTGTGCAGAGCCCGTGTGTGATTCGGATGCGGACTCAGACTGCGACTCGAATGGAGGGGACTATGATACGGAGTCCGAGCTTGATTGTGAAGACGACGACGCCACCGTGAACTTCAAGAGCCCGAACGACCCCGCGGTGGTGGAGGTCGTGTGCAGGAAGGTGAACGAGGCCCTGGCCGGAGTGTGCGCCGCCCAGTGCTACATCTGTGATCGCCTCCTCAACACGCGCGGCGTGTGCCGTGTCGACCTGCAGTGCATCCGGCGGGAGGCAGACCGCGAGGCGATGCAGCAGCTGCTGGACAGACTCGTGACTGTCCCGGGCCAGTACGACATGTGCGCGACCTGCCGCGGCTACATCATGAAGAAGGAGGTGCCGCCCAGCGCCGCGGTGAAGGGCTTCCGCTACCCGCCCCTGCCGCCCGGGCTGCGGCCGCTCACCGAGGTGGAGGAGCACGTCCTGGCGCTGCGCCTGCCCTTCCAGCAGATCGTCCACCTGGGCACCATGGGGCAGCGCGGCCAGTACGGCGTGCGCGGCTCCGTGATCAACGTCCCCACCGAGCCGGACCAGACCGTGCGCACCGTCATCCCCCTGCTGCCCGAGGAGGACCAGCTGTGCGTCGTCAACATCAAGAGGAAGCTGATGCACAAGCGGGCCTTCGCACGCAGCTTTGTGCGCAAGGACAACATTATACAGTGGGGCCGCTTCCTGGAGCAGTCCACGCTGTACCGCGAGTACGGCGCCAGGTTCGACGAGACGCGCCTGGACGTGCTGCCCGGTGACCAGGACGACGAGGAGCGGTGTAACGAGGACGGCGAGGTGTTCTACGGGCAGCCCGACGAGCCGGACGGGTACAAGAACATGCAGGAGCGGCTCGGCACCATCCAGAACACCGTGCTCATGGAGGACCGCGTCGTGGTGCCCGCCCAGCCAGCCGCCAACCGAGCAAATGCCGAGACGGACGAGATCGACGTGGCGCCCGGCGAGAACAAGATCCCCGAGAGCGTGGTGCGAGACAGGAGGGCAGAGGAGCTGTCGTTCCCCGGCATCTACCTGGGCGAGCCGCGCACCTTCACTCGCCATGTGACTCGCTACCAGGCCATGCGCAGCGAGATCCGGCGCGTCGACCGGCGGGGCGCGCGCCCCGCGGCTGTGCTGTACAAGTACAACGTCAACGCCCGGGAGCAGGCAGCAGGGCGGCTGCGCCACAAGTTCAAGCGCGGCGCCAAGGAAGTTCTTGGCAGAAATATTACAAAAGAACAGCTTCTCGACAAGAACTTCGTCGCGGCCTCCTTGAAGAAGGGGCTCGCCATGCCGTCCTTGCTTCCCAACTCGGCTGAGTACTGGCGGGGCCGTGGGCACGACCTCTTTGCCGCCGTGAGACAGCTTGGCCGGCCGCATCTGTTCCTGACGCTGTCCTCGGCGGAGTACCACTCCCCCATCCTCATCAACGTGCTGCGGCGGCTCCACCGAGAACACGCAGAGATGGACCGCTTTGCCTCCACGCCGTCCATGTCCGTTGGTCCGGCGGCCATGGAGGCCATCGGCGACATGGTGCAGCAAGGAGACTTGGACCAGGGCACCGTATCGTCGGAGGAGAAGCTCCGCCTCATTCGCGAGGACCCCGTCGTGTGCGCAAGTTACTTCAGAGAAATAGTGCTCCAGCTGAAGAAGTACTTGCGCATGAAGAAGAATGGACCAATGGGCAGGTATTTCATGAAGGATTGGTTTATTCGTATTGAATTCCAGCAGCGTGGGTCCCCTCACGCACACTGTCTCCTCTGGCTCAATGACGGTCCCGACAAGCCCTTGGATGACCTGGCCGCAACGATTGAGTTCATCGACGCCCTCATCACGTGCGACAGCTCTCACCCTCTCGCGGACCGGAACAAGCACCACCACACCTCATCTTGCTTCAAGAACAAGCACATCCGGCACCGCTTCGTGAAGAAAGGCCTCGACCCTCATGAGGAACATCGCCACTGCCGCTTCGGAGCGCCGTTTTGGCCGACGCCCACCACCAGGGTTGTGTTCCCGCTGCGCGCCGAGGAGGACGAGCGGAGGGAGGAGGACCGCGAGGACGAGGACTGGCCGACCTACATTGAGAAAATGCGGAAGCTCCGCCTGAAGCTCAAGGACGTGCTGGCCGCCAAAGACTGCCCGGACACCCTGGAGGGCGTGTGGCAGCGCGCGGGCTGCGAGAACGACGCGGAGTACGAGTTCGCCATCCGCACGGGCGTGCGGCGGCCGCAGGTGCTCTACAAGAGGGCCGTGGCGGACAGGTGGACCAACCCGCACTTGGTGTGGACGCTGAGGGCATTCATAGCGAACGGCGATGCTCAGCTGATCCTGGACATCTACAGCTTAGCCCGATACTGTGTCAGCTACATCACCAAGGGCGAAAAGAGCCACTCTCAGCTACATAATGAGATAACCCGCTTGCGCCGCGAACAGGGCTTTGACGATAGGACGTTAATGAGGATGCTGAGCTCCCAGACGCTACGGGCGAAGGAGACCTCGGCACAGGAGGCGGCGTGGGTGTTGATGAAGTTCCCTCTGTGTGAGACCAGCCGCAAGTGCACCTTCATCGACACCTCGCCGCAGGAAGAACGGGTCCATTGCCCGAAGCCAGCCAAGGAGCTCGACGCCTTGCCGGTCGGGTCGACGGACCTGTGGTACCCGGACGTGTTCGACATCTACTCCAGGCGGCCAGATGAGCTGGAACACGTCACGCTGGCCCAGTTCGTCGCCCTGCACCACCAGTCCAAGGACTTCAAGGCACGCCGATCCCACAGAATAATCAGGTAATATAGCCCCCCCCCCTTTTACACACATTCTCGCACCAACAATAATTGAGACGCGCCACGCAGTCTCCCTCTGATATGGTGTTTCAATGTTTTAATATATTCTGTTCCATTTCAGGTACAGGCGATATGGAGAAAATTCGGAGGACGCGGACGAGCGTGAGAACTTCTACCGGTCTATGTGCACACTTCACCTGAACTGGCGCAACGAGGATGAAATTGTGCAGGCCGGCCGGGACAGCTCGTTCCAAGCTCTCTACGCCACCCACGAAGAGACCATCTTGGAGAGGAGGAGGACGTTCGAAGCCATGCTGGGTCTGGAGACCACGCTGGCGGACGAGCTGGAGGCCTGCATTGCCGACGAGGAAGCCGAGGCGCTGGAGGCGGACTGCAACGCGCAGGGCAGGCTCGCCGGCAACAGCAAGCTGTTCTTCGATGAGGAGGCTGTCGCGGAGTACATGGACTGCGACAACGCGCAGGACGTCGACATCGACCTGCCGGGGTCATCGCGGCCGCAGCAGGCTGTGGTCCCGGCACAGGTGCGGCGCCGCGGCGTGTGGGACCGGCAGACCTACCTGGACCAGATACGGCGCCTCAACAACAAGCAGAAGGAGGTGGTGCTGGCCGTGATCCACGACGTGCGCACGCAGGCCAAGCCCCGCCTCATCTACATCGATGGACCGGCTGGCACCGGCAAATCGGTGGTTGCGCGCAACCTGGCCAACGCTTTCGAGGCGTTCTGCCCCGCCATCGACAAGGACGACTCCAGCAGGGTGGTGATCAGCGCCCCCACGGGCAAGGCGGCATACAACATAGGCGGTGGCACCTTGCACCACAACTACCATCTGTCGTACAACCAGGAGGCCGACTCCACCCAGCGCTTGCACGACGGCTCACAAAATATCATGTTGCCCCTGCAGGGTCAACAGTTAGGCAACTTCCAAAACTCCTTCTCTAACGTCCAGGCGCAGATCATAGATGAGATCAGCATGGTGTCGGACCGGAACTTCCTCGCCGTGGACCAGCGCTGCAAGGAGGCAAAGAACTGCGAAGCGGACTTCGGTGGCCTCTGGACGATTTGTTTTGGTGATTTTCGACAACTTGTTCCCGTGGGAGGATCCGCAGTGTATCTCAGCTCTACGGAGGGCATCGCCGGCAGTGCCCTCTTGTGGCGGAAATTTTCCTACGTAGAGCTGACAGAAAACATGCGCCAGGGGGAGGACAAGGAGTTCGCCGAGGTGCTCAAGAGGATCGGGGACGCCGAGGAGCCGCTCTCAGACGCCGACCGTGCTATGATAGAGTCGAGGTTCGTAGCCGAGAACAACCTAACTGTGCCGCCCAGCTGCCCTAGACTGTACCACTGCAACGAAGACAAAGATGCATTCAACCTGCACGAACTTCTGAAATCACCGAACCATCACATCATCCGGCTGTTCGCACGGGATAGGGTGCAAGAAAATAGGAACTACCAGGGGTTGTTGGCACCCAGGGGGCGGAAACAACAACAATCACATGACAAACTTCTTGAGCGCGCCAAGAAACTCCCTACTGCCAAGGCAAAAAACCTGCCTCACCTTCTTCTGGCCGTGGTGGGGCATTCCTACAAGCTGACCGTCAACGTCAGCGTGCCGGACGGCCTCTGCAACGGCTCCGTGGGCGTGCTGGAGTGGGTGCAGGTTGGCGTGCTGTGCCCGCAGTCGCGCACCCCCGGCGTGACTACCCCCGAGCTGGCCGTGCAGACCTTGTGGCTCCGCTTCCCGGGCGAGGTCGGCGCCGCGGCCAGTCGTGCAGCCCAGAACGAGCTTCGAGTGGCCATCGAGCGGCAGAAAAGCCTCCCTCAGCACCTCCTGGACGCCCTGCCATTTGAGCTGCCGCCGTGCCCCGAGGAGAACAAGATGGCCGGCCTGGTGCCGGTGGAGCGCGAGGACCGCCATCTCAACCAGCTATGGACCGAGCAGTGGCGCCATGTCTACCGGCAGCAGTTCCCTCTGGTCCCGTCGCTGGCTGAGACCATCCACGGGTCTCAGGGCGGCTCCTACGATAAGGTGTGTGTTGAGTATTACGACCAGATGCAGAACAACATGGTGTACGTTGGGCTGAGTCGGGTGCGGTCGCTGGCGGGCCTCTTCATCAACAACACCAATGGGAAGAGGTTGCGGCGCGTCGCTAGTGGACGTGTGACCCGCAGGCGAGCTCCGCGACGGTCATCCAACTTCTTCAACCACCCTCGCATGGACAAGAAGGACGAGCCCCTGGTCAAAGAGAAGCAGCGCCTTCGCAGCAACCGCTTCGTGCCGCAGTGGGCGGCCCTGGCGCAGCGACCAGCGAACGGCCTTCGCATCGTGCACCACAACGTGCAGAGCCTCAACGCCCACCAGCAAGACGTCGTCCTGGACAAGGCCTTCATGCAGGCGGACGTCCTGCTGCTGGCTGAGACCTGGCTGCGTCCAGACCAGTCTATGGACCTCGGGCACGGCCTGGCCATGGTGGCGCGCTGTGACGCGCCCGTCCGGCAGGGGAACGCCGCGGGGGGCGTGGCCGTGTACTCCAGGCTGCCGCTCTGCCAGGAGCGAGTCGTGGACACGCTGCCCTCGGTCGAGGCGGTGAGCGCGCGTCAAGGCGACGAGCTGCTGGTGGCCGTGCTCTACTGCCACCCTGGAGCAAAGCTGGACGACATCCTGGAGGCCCTCGGCGCCGTGCTGCCGTCTCACCCCACCGAGACGACCGTCCTCGCGGCCGACTTCAACGTGGATCTGCAGTCAGCGGCGGGACGTCACATAACTGAAGCACTGACAGCGAGGGGCCTGACCAGCTCCAGCGACATGACCGTGCCCACCACCTACAACGGCACCACGATAGACGGCGTGTACTCCAACAAGGCCGCAATGAGCGTGGGCCGCTACCAGTCGTACTTCAGTGTCCACATTCCCCTCATCATTGACATTCCGACAGGTAATGTGACTAAATCAACAACTTATTTCCAATAACAAATTTAGTTTGCATTGAACTTACGAAGTTTTAATTTGTTGCAGATTGACTAC